GGACCGCGGGGACACGCACCGCGGGGACACGGGACCGCGGGGACACGTACCGCGGGGACACCACAGCGGGGACACGGGACCGCGGGGACACGCACCGCGGGCCTCCTCCGCTCCCGCGCGGCTCTCCTGGCGTTGGCTCGCTGCCCGTCGCGCTCGTACTTCGCGGCGAAGGAATCCAGAATCTCATAGAGGTCGTCCGCTTGCGCCGGCCGCGCCGTTTCTCCGAATAAAATGTCGTAGGCCCGGATGTCTCGACAGTAAAATCTGGTGAGAGGCGTCAGAGGAGGCACTTAGGGACCCGGGTCTTCTCTCGAGGTCAAGTCGGAGCGCGCCTGCGCGCAGGCCTGTCCCCGCCGCTCGCGCGTCGCGTGAACTCGTTGCACACCCGCGCGGAGCCCCAGCTGCCCCCAGAGCCAGTCACGGAAATCGCCGGACGCGCGTAGCCCATCACGTGTACGTGCAAACGCACACACACGTGCACACGCGTGTGCAAATGTCCCCCCACGGAAGCCGGCACACCCAGAAGCGCATACTTTGTACAGATTTTTATTTTTGAACTTTCTTACAAAAATGGTGCTTTGTAATATGGAACAGCAAAGACGGCTTTGGAATTTCTTTAAAACGTTTACTTGTGTCAAAATTATATAAGGCTTTGCCTGACATACGTAGAAGCCCTGCGACCGGTAACAAGTATATTTGCTTTAGCTTATTCAGGGTTTATGGGAACTTCAATGAGAAACCCTCCCAAAGGCCTAGAATCAGAAGTTTCTAAAACAATTCCTCGTTCTGATTTCTCAGATTAATAGAACCAGAAGTAAACGCATCTCTCTCGGCTCTGCAAACCTCCGGTTTTCCTGTTCCTACCTCCAGCTGCCGGGGCTCGCTCGGCCGACGGACCGTCCCGGGTGCTGGGGAGCTCCTGAGGGACGGCCCAGTCTCCTCCGCGCAGGCTTCCTTCCCGGGCTGTGCCGCGGGCACCGGCACGGCGCCCCACGGGCTCACAGCCCACGGGACGCTGACAGGTTCTGGAAGAAGTTACTCGGTCTGTCAGCCTCTTCTCTTGCTCTGAGCAGCCAGACTAATATTGTAGTGGAAATTCAGAAGAACAGTTTGGGGAGAAACTAGCCAGATGCCAGTTTAAAGTAGAAGTTCTTCTTCACCTGTTAAAGTATTTCTAAATCCCCCTATTTTTTTTCATTTCTTTTCAGTGTTCCAAGATTCACTGTTTATGCAGCACACCCAGTGCTCCATGCAGCACGTGCCTCCTTAATACCCACCACCAGGCTCTAAATCCCTTTTTAAAAATCAAAATTTGTCTCTCTTTTATGGAAGAAAGACAAAGGCAAAGTGTAATAACAGGAAACCTCTCGTGTTAGGAATATTTTGATTGACCTACAAGGTGTATAAAACATACTTAATGATAGAGCCAACTAACGAATATTATGGAGCTATTAACTTATATTTAAGATTCTTCTACTGCTAAGTGGAAAAAAAAGGACTCGTAATTGGCTCTGTTAGGGTTAGAATCATATGTGGCCAAACAAGTGGAATTTATGCTCAGGAAAACACTGTAAGGCAATAAAGCAAAAAGTGAATCATGTTACTCTTAAAGGAGTAGAATGGCTTTTTTAAAATAATTTTTTGTATTTTCTTAAGTACATGTTACTTCATATTGAATCTTTAAATAAATAAATACACAGTTCGAGTCGAATGCTGGGTTAGAAAAGAATACACAAGGTTACTCTGTAAACTCTGAACCACTACACGGACCTCTGAGGTGTCACTTTTCTCATCACACTTTCCTGAAATTGTGAGAATTACTTGGGCTGCACTTACTTCCGATTAGTGTCTTTCCTTTCAATCAAACAACTGCCTTCTAAAGATACGCCAGCAAAGAGCCCTCTTGATTTGCAGTATGTAAAAACAGCGGCAGAGCTTCTCAGGGCAACGTTTCCTTCTAAATTCCTGCAAGAGAGAAGGTTTTGCATCATGGAATCCCGGCGGGCCGGGCCCTAAGATGACGACGTGAGCAGCACTGCGCTGCATGTCCCTTCGCTCAGAAGAGAGATCTCGTCCTGTCCTTCCTTCACCGGCCTTTGTGTTTTCCTTCCTGTTCGCCTGGGCTAGTCGTGCTTAGCGTGGGCTAGAGCAAGGACAGGGCATGGGGAAGGACACATTATGTAAAACCATTATAAAAGGGTGTGCTGATACGGAGGACTGCACTGTACCGAACACACGGAAAGCGGATACTTTCCGACTTTGTCTCCCTTTCTTGAAACAGGAATGTACCTTTTAAGAGTACTAAGGACTGTGGGTTCTTCTTACACTGAGTATTTTCATAGAATTTAGAAACCTTTCTAGAAGACTGTATAGTCTGAGTTTTCAGTATTTCTACATTGCTTGAATGACCCCAAAATAGTTGTCCATTGACAGAGGGGTAAAATGCACTCTATGTACTATACACATCACTCTAGTGAAAACCTTCTATTTCAAATTTTCCATAATTCAGTCTGAAGAAAGTCTTTTTTCTTTCTTGATCAATGCTGCCTTTTATCAGCTAATTAAATTGGACTTGGCTCCTTCAGAGCTTACAGGTAAATTTCATGTTCCATCCCAGTAGATATAATGGCCTACGCTTCTGAAGTATTCAGTTTCTTGTGTTTGTTCCAGTTTCAAATTTTCTTATTTTGTCACACTGGCTGTGCTTTGCAAATTTCTTATTTCCAAACAACCTCAAACCCGCTGGGACATATATAAACCATAAACCAGTTTCGTTTCAACTGAAGCTTCCTCTTAGGGCAAAACCATGTATAATCTTTAAACCATTACTATCCAACAGCTGTCCAGAAAGTACTTTATGGTACTCACCTTCCCAGGGGCCCAACTGCCACAGTAAAATTCCCTCCAAGGGTCAGGTTACCACCTTTTGCAAAAGCTTCTACTGCTCTGTCATAATTCAAAATTATTACCAAATCTGATACCTGAAAATGAAGAGACCCATTTCTTTAAAAATAATTATGTACAAATGTCATTTAAAATATTTGCTGATTAAAACTCAAAATACATACCACACGATGTAGCAAGAATTTCAATGTAGACAGTGAAAGAAAAAGAGAGAAGAATTATTTTTATTTTGAGCAGAGGACGTAAGCCATGGCTCTTTCCACGGGTTAGCACAGCAAACACCGCTGAGCATTCACTATGCACCAGACACATTCTGGAGGGCTCCGCGCACACTCCCGGTCCTCTTGGCAGGCTTGTGATGTAGGCAATGACAGAGGTCTAGTGAGGTGACTGGACTGTCATGGTGAGAGCCGGAAGAGATCCGACAGAGGTCATCAGGAAGACTACAAGTACTCCCTTCGACTACACATGCCAAGAAAGGCTTTGAACCAAAGCCCGTCCAGTTGGGACTCAGGGCATAAGATCCAGGGCCCTCAGTGACATTTCCACACTGAAGTCCCTGGCAAGGTCACGTGTGTACACTGATAAAGAGCATGTTGTCCACTTTCTTTTAGGGGCAGAAATTCAGAATAACAGAAGGAAGCTACTTAACTATTAGTTCATGCCCCTACTGACTTAATTCTCTAAGTAAAAGTGAACATCAGAATGTGGGAATAATGTCCCAGACAAGCCAGCACAGAGGAGGTGTTCCTGGCCGTGGCACACAAGCCCAGTGAGAGCCCAGAAGCGTGGAGAGCCCTCGGAGCTGGAGGCCCGAGCCCGGTCCGGCCCCCTCCTCGAGAGACGGGTGACCAGCGGCGTTCTGACCACTCTGCATCTCTCACCTCTTCCTGCGCACACTCACTTACCCCTCTGAAGATCGAGGGTGTGTGTCACGCATACCCTAGAAAAGGAAAGGCGTACCTACTGAGGCTAAGAATTTGGGCTAAAAATCTAGCTCTTTGGGTGTGAATTCTACTTCTGCCTCTTGCACATCGTGGGATCTTAGGCAAACAATTGAGCATCTTGAAACCTTAGCTCGTTTCTCTGTTTTAAGGTGGGTATGATAACAGGAGCCACATCCGTACGTAGACTCTGCATACACGCAGGCACGTGCGGAGACACACGCATACGGTTGTTTAAAGGTTTAGCCGAAATCCTTTGTAAAGCCTGGCGTGTTCACCACAACTCAGTAAAACATGCAAAGGCCAAACAAACTGGTGTTTCAAAGATTACTTAATTCATATAGTTCTTTAACGTTTTCTAATGTTTTCAAATCAATTTTTCATGGGACCTACAGAAGATACCACCAAAAGAGACCGTGATTGAAAAGACCTAATAGAGATCCCAATATAAGTAGATTCTTTTAAAAATGCTTAATTTGAATCATTTTATGAAAAAAATACAGTTGAGTTCCACAGCACAAACTAAATACACCAGCTAACTGACCTCTAGGAAATACTTCACCGTGAGTCCTATCAACTGTTATTTCCATCTCACATGTGGACAGTTTCTAAAGACTGCAGTGTCGAATAATACAGAATTACCTAGCATTTTTAAGCAAAATTAAGTAATTTTGCCCATGATTGTGTGAGCTATCTCTTACATACATTTTCAGGTAATACATATAAAATTGTTTTGCACAGTGCTTGGTATGTACAGAGGCCGAGAGCGCACAGCTCTGGCCCCGACCATGTGAATACCTGACTGGTACTGTCCCCTCCACCTGTGGCATCACAGTATAATTAAGGGAAAACTCTAAAAGCCAGTTAAAGAAAAAAAAAAATGACCCTTTAATTTTCTGGGTCACCTCAATTCAACTCTCTCTGAAGAAGAGTAAAATGACCCTGTGTTCCTTGGTGATGTCACTAATGAGAGAACCAGGTCAAAGCTCCACAGAGGTGGGAGAGTGGCCAAGCTCTAGGGTCGTTTCCACAGCTTAGAGGAAAAGCAAACAGATTCCCTGAAAGAAAACTGGCAAGAGAGCAAGTAAACAGTGTAAGACAGACACCCGGAAATGGGATCAGCTTTCTTAGGTGGTCTGCAATGAGATGTCACTGAGTAGGATGCCAATTCTGCCGTTAAATTCAATCCTTTCATTAAAGAATGAAGCAAGCCTGATCTCCCTGTAGGAGAAGCTGGCGGAGGCGTGCTAACCCCAGATGACGCCGGGGAACAGGGTGCTGTGGCCGGGAGCCCACCCAAGAGGCTGTCATCACCAGAAGCCAAGTCACAAAATGAAACCATGGAAAGTCGGCATTTGAAGTAACCTGCAGGCCGGACAGGGCACAACCGCAGGGCTACCGCACCTGAAGGCACACTGTGTGAAGCCTGGTGCGCCCAGGACCCGAGCTCCACAGCCCGCCACGGACATCAGCGCCCTGCGAGCTCAAGCCACAGGCGGCCAAAGACAGTGCGGTCCCTGTGAGGCGTATCTGTTCCAGAGACGCGCGGAAGGTGGGAGCGGAGCAAAGGGTGGATGGGCCGAGCTCTACTCCCCATGAAGAACACAGGAGACACCGGGCAGTCCTAAGAGGGCATCTCTCCGGAAAATGAAATACGGATTCCGTCGGTGGTGAAAGGAGAACAGGAGGTAATCTCGCAAGTTCTGTGCAGTAAGTTTCAGCTGCTTTTAGAGAAAACCGCAATTGTGTGTTTCCACACTTACCTCAATTCCTACTTCGAACCCTCCGCCGAGCCCAGCTATCCCAATGGCTGAAGGCGCAGACCATTCTAACAAAAACAGAGACACAGACTTTAACATTAAAGCCCCTTGGCACAAGGGGAAAAATGCTACAATGAGAATGAACAGTGTTTCTTTTAAAAATAATGAGACTCTGGCATTTCTCCCTGCGATTTTAATATTATTTAATAAGCATATATATATATATATATATATATATATATATATGGTTAAAAGTATTTTACTGATTACAATATCAATTCACAGCAACATTTCACAGAGCGAGACTCCAAATGAAGGAATGGATCCCCAGGCAAGGAAGAGCCAACGACACCATTAAATCAGGGTACAAGACCACAGTTTGGTTTAAAGCTTTTTTTTTAAAGACTTTATTTATTTATTTGACAGAGACAGAGATCACAAGCAGGCAGAGACACAGGCAGAGAGAGAGGAGGAAGCAGACTCCCCACTGAGCAGAGAGCCCGATGCGGGACTCGATCCCAGGACCCCAAGATCATGACCTGAGCCGAAGGCAGAGGCTTCACCCACTGATCCAACCCAAGGTTTAAAGCTTTCTAAGAGCTTTCATCTACTACATTCACCTTTCTGTAGTCAAACTACTGAAAAAATTTGATTCAAGTTGAGTTTGCTTTGACTGAAAGGTGCTAAGGTCGGAATTTCTCCAGGTGGGTTTCTGTTCAGAGGTTGCACACAGACAGCACCCTCCTCCAGACCCCCGGCACCTAGTAACAAACCATGGGTGAAGTTCAAAGGGCCATCATTTCCTACAGTACGAAGCAGCTTTTTAAAGTTCCTTCACCAACTGCTACATAAATTAGGAAACTAGAGGTATATTTTTATGGCAATTACCATAGACAAATTTGTGAACGAGATACTATCTATTTCATCAAAATTCAATGGACAGAATGTTGACAAAACAACTTTAAGAAATGTGACATTGCAGGGGCACCTGGGTGGCTCAGCTGTTAAGTCTCTGCCGTCAGCTCAGGTCATGATCCTGGGGTTCTGGGATCGAGCCACGCATCACATCGGGCTCTGTGCTCAGTGGGGAGTCTGCTTCTCCCTCTCTCTCTGCCTGTGTCTCTGCCTGCTTGTGATCTCTCTGTCAAATAAATCATTAAAAAATATTTAAAAAAATGTTTGAAAGCTATTAGATATTGAGGCTCACAGACTCACAAATCCATGTCCCTTAATCTTTATAAACGTGCGTAATACATCCAATTATGGAACCCTCACGTACTAAACACATATAGCATTTGATCACTGCAACTCTCAATATTTATGTTTTACAAAATAATTGAGGTGTATAATTCTATTTTTCAGTTAGAACTTTATCATAGATTAAGAGAGCAAAAGGAGTCAAGAGAAGTTTATTATAATCACTTTTAAGGGTAACACAATAATAAACCGTTTCTATTGTAAATCTCTGAGGACAAAAACTTGTCTTTTTGTACCTAGTAGAACGAGAAATAGCCTATAAATTCAAGATTATTAAGATTTTAACAAGATAAATTTCCTTACACTTGAAAACTAAGTACAATAATTCCACTTGAATTAGGGAAAAAAATTAATTTGTTGGGGGGAGTGTGGGATCGTATAGATAAAGTACTTTTTGAAAGGCTTCTTAGCTTCCTAAACCTAATTTTGTATTCTAGATAACAGGATATTGCTTGGATATATTCAGAACTAATCTACCAGGCTTAGGGGAGTTTCAATTACAGAAATTAATGTCATATAATCCCAAAGTTGTTTTCCATTTCCTATGTTAAGAACCATCCCTGTCTGAAGACAGCCCATCTGGCCAGGATCTGGGGAATCTGCTGTTTCATCTGGGCAATTACAGATGGAGCAGCTGGCCTTCAGGACGGCAGGGAGGGAAGTAGAGGTAGAAAGGGACACCTGTGGGGCGCCTAGGTGGCTCAGTCGTTAAGTATCTGCCTTAGGCTCAGGTCATGATCCCAGGGTCCCGGGATCCAGCCCCGCATCTGGCTCCCTGCCCAGCGGGAAGCCTGCATCTCCCTCTCCCACTCCCCCTGCTTGTGTTCCCGCTCTCCCTGTGTCTCTCTGTCAAATAAATAAATCAATCAATAAATTCCTTTAAAAAAAGGCCACCTGAGGTTCTGAGAGACCCCGGAGGTTGTCAGGCTTCCCCCTCTGCAGATGGCCCCCCTGTCCACTCCCGGGGGGGAACAGCTCACAGACACTGAAGACCCTCTGAGTGGGCCTCCACTTTGTCTGGTGTGACCTGGAGGTCTCTCAGGAGAATGTGTGCCGTGCTCAAGAAGAAGGGAACTTGGTTGTTTCCATGTCATAGGCAAGGACTGAACCACGAAACGCTGGGTCACAGCTTTGGGAAGAGACTCCAACTTACCGTGGGGACACATCACAGGACACAGTGGACCTGGCCACCGAGGTTCAGTGGCCACACGCCCCACAAACTCCCAGATGTATCTACAGTCATTGTCCTACGCTCTCTTCCAGATTAAAATTAACTTACCTACACTAAAAACATCTATTAAGAGAGAAATATGTTCAATTATATGAGCAAAATGAGAATGTTAAATCAGTATAAAAAGCATTTTAGTTGGTTATGACGCATGTGCATACATTTTAAATGTTACTATAAATACCGGCTAAATCTTTGGGAATTAAGGAAAGTATGTTGTGATTTCATCTCTGACAAACCAAATGTTAGATTTCAGCCCAGAAAGTAAAACCAAATTGTCCTGATGTGCTTCCACCTTTAAAGTACAGGCTTTTAACAAAACTTTCAGGTTTTATCATTTCCTATGGGAATAGCAGAAAGGTTCCAGATGGCTCTGATCTTATCAGCTTCCAGAGAACAAAAGAAAAGTTGTACCACAAAGCTGAAAATAAGATTCATATCCAACAGCAGAAATATAGATATTGTCACATTCAGTATTTGCTCCATGGAAGAAGTACAAAATGCATGTAAGACAAAGCCAGACCTACGCCTGCAAGTCTCGTCTAGCGTTTTAAGAGGAGGAGAGAACTCGAAGCCCCCGCCTTGTGGACAGGACGTGCCAAGTGCGCACTCCAGGGTGACAGCGTTAGGAGGCTCCCTGCCAGGGGTGTCCAAAATGAAGACAGTCAACTTACTTCCATCCGGAAGACGAGCCAGCACGACCCCACTGCCTCCTCTAGCAGTTACTAGAAATCCAGCTTTTATCACCGACAAAATCGCAAGGCCCTTGGCTTTGGCGATGACGTGGGCTGCAAATGAGAGACATCAGGCAGGTGAGCGTCTGCAGTGGACTTGCCTGAGCCGACGGGCGGTAAGCAGATGGATGCACGGAAGCTCTGAGGGGCAGGACCCCAGGCTTCTCGGGACCGTCTCTGCGGCACCGGTGAGCCAAAGAACACTCAACGCGACACAGGGGCCCGATGACCCTACTGCCCCGCCCTTCCCTGTGCTGTTTCCCAGGGCCTCAGAACCAACACCCAGACATGTGCACAACCGGCAACAGATGGGATACGTGATGAGATTCTTTTAGTGGACATGTACTAGCAGGACAACTAATTTGGAAATTTCAATGAATTGAGAATGTAACTCATAAAAAACAGGTTCCTGTTTTAAAGGAAATGCGATCCATCTGGAACCAAGTACGAAGGAGAAAGCCAGCAAGGGCGTCCGCACATGGCAGAGCCTGGGTCTCCGAGCCGCACAGCTGGTTCACCTTTTACCGACACGAAAATTACATGTGAGCACAGAAAAACCAAGTGATTTGCCACTTTAGAAGAGTTTTAGCTTTCGTTCAAGTATTCAAGTACCACGTGCGTCCCAGCGCACTGAGGACAGAGTTTACACACTTGGTTACCTCACACAGAATGAGTTATCAGCACACGCGCCCCCCCAAACACTGCCCCCCGGATTCCCCCTCACAACACCACATCTCCCAATAACAAGGGAGATGGCTTGATGTCCTGTCCTTGGTCAAACATTCCACCAATAAAGCCACATCGGACCCTGTACTCAAATACAAGGAAATGCTCTTGAGGAGGCCCTAGAAAACACAACGTTTCTCGTGTCACTGTGCACACCACTTCACAACGTCAACGGCAGTCTCCGAGATAACGCGCTCACGAGCATGAAGCCTGCACGCAGACGTGTGGAGCCTCGGAGCCCAGCAGCGCACAGCAAACGAGGCTGGGCCTGCCTTCCTCCGGGATTCTGTGAGGTTCCAAGTGCACCGTATGAGGCTGGAACCTTACTGTCTGTCACGGAAGGTTATTTCTACAGCCACATGTTGGCAGAACATCCCTACAACTCACTCTCCTCTCTCAATGCCCGTACGGTCAGGACGGCCTCTATTTAGACAGAACAAAAGTAGATGGACATATTTTCAATGTCAGGTTTGTTTTTATAGATTTTCCATCCAAATTTGGGGACACTAAAATACCAATAATGCCTAAATAATTTGTGAATTAGCTTTTCGTTTACAATATAGATGCACTGATTACAGACTCCCTGGTGGAATTTTACTGCACAAATTCCTTGAGAAATAATCCATACTCCGATGTTTCTATGTTGGGAAATACAATTTACCCATAAACTGGGCTAGCAGGCTGTTTTGCTGATGCCGATACAGCTGACACAGCTGACACATATCAGAAATGTCTGCTATCTCCTGCCCAGAGTATCACCACCGAAGACTCCGTTTCTCTGGCTGAATTTTCTTCGGGCTCTAACACAGCACTTATCAAACTGGTATGTGCGGACAGATCACTGGAGGTCTTGTGAAAAATGCAGATTCTGACTCCTTGGGCCTCAGTGGTGCCTTGAGGTCCTGTGTTTTTAACAAGAACCCAGGCGATGCCCAGCGCTGGCCTAGTCTGCACGTGGGGTAGCAAGGCTCCTCGGAGCACCATCTTCATGATGGGAGTAGTAGTGTCCGGACCCAAATGATAATAATAATAATAATATTTATATAGTATTATATATTAAATATAATATTATTACAACAAATTAAACTTTTTTAACATTTAAAGTTCTGCTAAACAACTTTAAAAAAATCTGGTGTAAGAAATTAAACTAGTTTTAAAAAAAGAAGTTAAATCTGTTTTGTGATGCAGGATCCATCTCCCAGGCCCCTGATTCCCCTAAGAGGGAAAGCAGCCTGATTCCCCTAAGCAGCCTGATTCCCCTAAGCAGCCTGATTCCCCTAAGAGGGAAAGCAGCCTGAAGCAGTCCCCAAGCCGGTTTGCATAGGAATCTTTGCTCCTGGAACCACCCATAGGAATAACTGGGAGCAGCCAGTTCCCAAAAGCCCATCTCTAGCCTCTGGCCTCCTGCTTCCGCCACAATCCCGCCCAGGCCACTCTGCTCCCAGGGTGTATTCCTCAGGCTTGGGGGTGGGGGGTGGGGGTAGAGGTGCTGTTATTTTAATGATCCAAAGAATCTCACGCACAGCTGGGTTAGGAATGATTGATTCATGTCTTGTCCAACCACTACAAAACGTAAAAATACCTGACCTCAAAAAAAGAAAACCCAAAGTTAAAATTGGTTTTTGAGATTGGCTAGTGACTCTGCAAGATAAGCTTGCAAAGGCCTCAGAAACCAAGGACGATGATGGAAGTTTGGGGAAGCCCAAGTGGGCACAAGGAGGAGGCTGGAAGGGGACCTCCACAGGGGCGGAGGGTAGGGGGAGGGTGGGCGCCTCAGGAGCCCAGCCGGCAGACCAGCCAGGAGGAAAGCAGTGCTCTGCGGGCCTGCTGCCCCTGGGGCCTCCGTCTGGGTGCACCGAGCAACTAACACAATGCAACACAGAGAAACGAGAGGCACATATTTTATTTACCAGGAATGATCTTATCAGGTCCGTTTCTGGAAGTTATTTCCGTGAATTCTCTTAGAATTTTAGCAGCCTTTTTTGCTTCCGATTTCAAATTGGAAGGTATAGGATTATTCACTGAAAGATTAAAAAAGGAGACTTTAATGAAAAAAATCTAGTAAAAAGGAGTTAGAAATGTATTTATGATTTCAGTTTTTCTCACGCACAACCGAGCATTGACCAATTCCATCCTTCTAGACAAAAGAAGTGACCCGGAGACCCTCAAATTATTGTCTCATCTCTGTTTTCCTGATAACGCCAATTCACTCTGAGATTGAGAAACCCTAAATTCTCAAAACCCCAGAAATTATAAAATCCTGGGATTCTACAAGATCTTAAACAAAGTCTGGCCCAATCTCCTAATTACGTGTCTGCTCTCTGTAATTCTTAGCTCACCGCGATGCTAGTTAAAAGACATTAAAATTTGAAGAATTAACAAAAGATGTAACTTACAACTGTGTATAATAAAAAATACAAAATTTATCTGGATGCTTCGGTCAAAATACTGAACTATCTGCATAGATTCTCCTTGTGAGTAAGATCCTGAGACTCGGGAAGTGAGCGGCCACTCCTGTGTCTGCACAGCCCCAGCTTTCAGGCTCGCCCGGGTGTCCTTGAGTCACGCAAGCACGGGTTTGTCCCCCAAATGCACAGACACCCCCCCAGAGCCGAAGTCTGTGGGGACAGATCGCCCTTCTCACAGGAAAAGCGATCTGAAGAGCCAAGGAGACCACGAGGCGCCGATGTCGAGTCTGTGGCTCAGGCCATCAAATGCCTTTTTTATTGCAAAGACGGCGTTTTCAGCTCTGAAGTTCACTTGCTTTGGTTCTTTCCGTTTCTGTTCTCAATGGATGTTGGTTGCTCTTTAAATGCTTGAGCATATTTTAAAAGGTGTATTTTTATCCTTGTCTGATAATTGCATCATCTCTGCCCTTTCAGGATCTGCTTTTGACAGATTTTTCTCCTAGATATGGGTTAGATTGTCCTGCTTCTACCCACTTCTAGCAAAACCGGACGGTTGCCGGACCCGGTGGATGTGGCCGCGTGGAGTGTCCAGACTCTGTCGTCGTCCCTGGGGGCGATGCCGTGGGAGCAGGCAGTGCCGGGAGTCCCGCGTCAGCTCAGTCTTCCCAAGGCCTGCTTTTGCGAGAGGTTGGGCGCTTGTCGCATGCTGGGGACAGGAGCCCTGCAGCCAGGCGCGGTTCCCCGGGCTCTCCCCGCGTCCTCGGGGCTTCACGCGCTCGCCCCGGGATGCGGGAGCTGCAGCCCCTCCATCTCTGAACTGAAGACGGGTCACCTCCTGGCTCCCTGGTGGTAGCTCTTGGCTCCACCGCACACACGGGGATTTGTGGGGTCCCCTCGCAGAGTGCTTGAGCTCGCCCTTGCCCCGGCCCCCCGGGGCCTGCGTCTGTCTCATACAGCGCACGCAGCCCGCCCCAGCGGACATCCCGGCCCCAGCCGCCCGGGAAGGTGCCTTCAGGCAGGAAAAGAGGCGGCCTCCTGGCTCCGGCCTCCTCCGAGGTCCCAGACATGCTCACTGGGTGCCCCACTTGTGCAAGCAGACACCCGCTCTCTTTTGCCCAGTTTCTAGGGTTTACAGAAAGTGGCGGCACATTTCTCTGTCATGAACCTCCCAGCGTGCTTTTACTCGCCAAGTGACAGTAAGTATCTTTCCTTCCCTGTCAGGCCTCTTAACGCTGTTCTCTGTTTCATATTCATTTGTAAAGTAAGGAAATTAATCTTTTTCTAGAAGATAAGTCACAAATATTGATTTGCTATTTGTCATTTGTCTTTTGAATTTTCTTACGGTGGTTTTTCTTTTTTTTTTTTTTTAAGATTTTTAAGATTTTTTTAAAGATCCATTCACTTGACAGAGGGAGCACAAGCAGGGGAGCGGAGAGGGAGAAGCAGACTCGCCGCAGAGCAGGAAGCCCGCTGTGGGGCTCGAGGCCAGGACCCTGGGATCACAACCCGAGTCAAACCAGACGCTTAACGGACTGAGCCACCGAGGTGCCCCTTATGATGGTGTTTCTACTTCTGTCTTCATGAAATCAAGTTCACCTTCTCGTCTAAGTTTTACAAGCATCTCTAACTAAACGAAATGATTTCCCATATGGAAAAACAAACAAGCAAGAGAATATTGAGAAAAAGTATGTAAAAGAAGAATGAGGGGGACACGCTCTGCCGGAAGCTGGAGTGTATGGTGTCGCCTGCGTATTGTACTGTAGAGGCAAAAACAGGCGGAAAACCCAGTCTTACAAAATAGAAAATTCAGAAACTGACTCGAACATATAAAATAATTTACTACATAATAAAGACAGCACCTTAAATCATTGTAGAAAAGCTGTATTACACAATAACTGGTGATGTCTGGGGGAAATTCATCCACTTCTTCATATAACAGATGGTTGTAAACTCCAAATTCATCAGTGACTTGAAATGCCCAAAATCAAACCATGAAAGAACTAGAAATTACATGAGAATTACTTTTCAAATTCATAGTGCAAAAGGCCCAAGTATGACAAAAAAAGTCTATATTTTTAAATGATCAGAAATTATGGCATAAGCATACTGTGAGCAAAAAGGGAAACGTACACACATGCAAACACTGAGGGAAACGGCCACTCCTGCTCTGGGCACCCACCAGTACTACTGTCTGCCCGACACTCACTGACCCCTGCTGCTATTTCCATTTTCAGCTTCTGTAGATATAGCCGTTAGCTGGCAACTGTCTTCAGATAAGGCCCTAAAAGTTGGAACTGATGAATCAAAGAGACTTAAAATCTGTTAGCTTTTTATTACACTGCCAAACTGTTTCCCCAAAATACTACCCAAGTTTAACTGACTGGCACCCCAAAACACCACCCACATTTAGAACCACTGAGTATTGCCATAAAAAACTCCACTGTTATGGCTGACACTGGGAAAGGCAAAGTCCGTACATCAGAAAAACAGGATGACAAATTTTATTTGAATTTATCTGAATACTAGCGAATTTTTCTTTTGTTTTATTATATTTCCTGTTTCACATATTTTCTGTTCATATACTTTTTCTGGTTCCATACTCCTTTTGCCCATAATTTTAATCATGTTGTAAGTCTATGTCTCAACTTGTTTTAAAAAAATTATTTAGAGTTTTCAGCATTTGTTTTTATTTATATGGCAATATTTCTCTGGGTTTTCTACTGTTTTCTTCTTTCTACTACTGTGACTAAAGGCCTTGATTAAAAACAAAAACAAAAATAAAACTGATACAGCCAATATTCCACGTTCTCTACCCGAGCTTCTATTTTACATTAAATATTTGGTCCATCTCAAACTTACACTGGCATAGGATAGGAAGAACCTCATATTTTTTACATACACAACTTACTGAATAATCCACAGCACTTAAAAATGTCACCTTCATGACAAAAGCAAGGAAAATATATTCATATATGTACTCACATATTTAAAAATATATGACAGAGATGACATGGTAGTTTAATAAATTATTCTGGAACTGGTCATTCAAATAAAACCAAAATAAATTTAGATTATAATATCGCATCATACACAAAAAAATTCAATACCTGATTGCCTTAATACTAAAGGCAAAGTTTAATACTTTTAAAATAAAAGTAACGGAAAATATCTTTATTATCTGGGCAATGGAGGGTTGCCCTAAACAATGCACAACAGTAATAGGAAACTACAGATACATTCAGCTACAGTAAAGTCAAGAAAAGGTGTGTCAACATACATTTGAAAATACAATACAAGGGAGAGGCCGGAAGAGATCTGTCATACAAATAAAGGGCGGCTATCTACGGTTCAGAATGCAGAGAGATCTTTAAAAATCAGTAAAAACACACAGAGCACAACGGAAAACTGGGCACAGTCAGTGTTCAATCAGCTGATTCACAGAAGAGGGAAACTCTGGGGCCGGCAACCACCTGAAAAGCTGGACGTGCCCCGTTAAGGCCACCGCGAGTCACCTGTGCTCATTTCCTGGGTCAGCGGACGGTCTGCCGGTGCATGTGCGGGTCCTGACAGGAGGAGGAGGGCCCCAGGGAGGACGGCAGGTGGGGCCATCCCTACAACCCGCCTACTTCACTCCCCGCTGAAGTCACCCGTAAAGGTCCCCAGGTGTGCTCACTGAGGCCGTGGTGAGTTGAATGCTGGTCCCCAAATTCGTGTCCACCTGAACCCCGAGAATGGGACCTTGTGCGGAAAAAGGGTCTTTGCAGGTGTAACGAAGGTCCCAAGGGGAGCTCATCCTGGGCTACCTGGGTGGGTGGACCCGAATCCAGAGATGAGTTTCCTTGTGGGACACAGAGGAGGGAGGACAGCGGAGCCAGCGGCCGTGGAGCACCTACAGGCCCCGCAAGCCCGAGAGCCCAGGAGAAGGGGCCCTGCAGGCCTAGGAGGGGGTTGGCCCTGCACACAGCGGATCAGTTCCCGCCAGTGTGCAGTGCCTGGAACCAGCACCACACGTGCAGAGGGGTCGCTGAGGCAGTGCTCCCCCGAGCAAACAAAGAAGAACACATAGAAACACACACATTCAAGGAAGGAGACGATTTCCCAAGGAGAGGCTGAATCAATACGGTCCGGTGTGGCCCTCAAGACCGTTCTCCACAGATACCGACCGACTGGCAGACACGCGCCAGCGCGGGAAAGTAGGAACAACAGAAGGAAAAACAGCTGCACGAAGACATACGGAGTATCGTGACATTCACGGCAACATTTTGAGGCATGAACAAAAATAAGAATATGTTTTATATAAAATATAGAATGTATAACAAAATACATATATTTGTGTGTAAAATTTATGTATAAAATATACATATGTATAATCGAAGTATAATGCTATTGGATTCGGGGTTGGGGTGGTGCTGGGGAAGGCTTCTGGAGGGGGCTTGCTTGAGGCTTGTACTTTTCTCCCTTCACTGTGTAGTGGGCCGTGCGCATTAATTATGTTATCCTCAATAGTCCCTTGTGGATCTGAAATATTGTATAATGAAGACTGGTCGGCAGAAGCTGAATATTATGTAATTAAGTATTTGCTATATTAGTGGCACCTTATGACCCCTGCTGTA